TATTTATTAAAAAATAAGATTGACATTTTTATTAGAGCATCTTGGCCTTGTTGATCTGTTTGCTGATCACAATAATTTGATCATCTAGCACAATAATTCAGGCTTGCTTGAGTTAAATGAATTAATTAAAGCCCATTTGTTTAAAATTTGAGTACAAGTAAGATGAATGATGAGCTGGTTTACAACTGATGAGAAGATATTGTTCCTTGAACATATTAACTCAAAATGTCGCCAATGCCCAAGAGCGCTTGGATGAGATGACTTGGGTCTCTTCCAGTTTAATCAGTGGTCTCGATTCGAGCCCTGAGAATGCAGCAGTGTTAAAACTCTTGAGGGAAAGCTTTGCCGCCCTTGTGGTCCTACCCGGCTCGATTCCGGATTAGTCGGTTCTCCTGTAGATCCGGAAACCGGAAGGTCCCTGTACCAAAAAAAAATGTCGCCAATGATAATTGAAGATCGTGATTTTTTTTATGTCTTTATGATATTTATAAAGAAATTAAACTTTAACCAGAAAAAATCTTCTTTTTTATCTTCTTTCGAAAAGACACTGACATATGAGCCAAACAATTCGAAGAAGGGGAAATGATACGGTCTCGTTACGGAATCATTCCGTCGTGGTTTGCAACTGTTACGTGATTATCTAACGGTTACAAACCTTGACAGAATGATTCCGCATGTTGTAGCATCTCCCGGAAAGAAGATCATTAACTTAATCAATTTGAATACGAGCAAACTCGAAAAGTATTTGAATGACATGCAAATTTAACTTTCAACAATTGGTATAAAAATCCTGTAGAGAGAAAACGAATCTCTCTTTTATATACAGATTTACACCCACTCATAATCAACAGTATAAAATTCTCCAAAAACTGATGTGTGCATAAATTTACCAGAAAAAACCTCTCACACAATTAACTAACTAATCCTTAATTAACTAACATCTGTAGGAATAATAATTGGAATTTGAGTTGAATCCGCGTCGACAACCTTTAATCCTCACCCAACGGCTGAGCCTCTTCCAGATGCTCCGCCGCCTCCTTGGTGACGTGGCGCCCACGTGTCGGCTCCTCCTGACGGCCAGCCCCGGCACCTCAGGCGGCCGGTACATCCTAATCAGCGGCCACTTGATCCCGTCGAAAAACGGGTGGCGCTTGATGTCGGCAGCTCCTCGGGCCCACCCCAGCCTCTTCCTCGGATCCCTCACCAGGAGCCTCCTTATCAGGTCCCTCGCCTCTCCCATTCCCGCCTCCTCACCATCCGCCACGTGGAACTTCACTCCTCCGGCAGATGCAATGTTCCGGAGCGTGGACTCCGTGCTCCCTCCCTTAAACGGCGTCGTCCCCTGCAGCAGCTCGTAGATTAGCACTCCGAACGCCCACCAGTCGACCCCACTGCCGTGGCCCCCGCCTGAAACAATCTCCGGCGCCAGATACTCGTGCGTCCCGACACACGACTTCGAGAACGCCGCAGTCGGCTCCGCCACGAACTCCGTCACCCTCTCCATCCGCCTCCGGCGCCGGATCTGAGTTTCGAGCCTCGGGGCAATGTCGGACTCGAGACACAGGTCGAAATCCGACAGCATGACGTGGCCGTCCTCCCGGATGAGGATGTTCTCCGGCTTGAGGTCCCGGTAGACGATGCCCCGCGCGTGGAGGTACTCGAGGGCGAGGAGGACCTCGGCGGCGTAGAATCGGACGGCTGAGAGGGGGAGGCGGCGGCGGGGCTGGCGGAGGAGGAGAGAGTGGAGGTCGCCGTTGGGGCAATAGTCGATGAGGAGGCAGGTGTAGTGGGAGGCGTCGAGGCGGGCGTAGAGAGTGGGGAGGAAAGGGTGGTCGAGGGTGGATAGGACGCGCGCCTCCGTCTGCGCGTGGGCGAGCTTCCGGGAGGTGAGGGCGTCGCGGTCGACCACCTTAAGGGCGAATGCGGCATGTTCGCTGTCGCGGAGGCGGCAGAGGAAGACGCGGCCGAGGTCGCCGGAGCCGAGGAGGCGGACGAGCTTCAGGTGGCGGAGGTGGAGGGCGCCGTCGGAGGACAGCGCGGAGGCGGCGTCGATTGCCGCCCAGTTGGGATGGTCGTGGCGGCGGTGGGGGCG